GTCAACTCGACCTTCTAGTTCTGACCCGCTTGTATCACATCGTCTAACCCGGTTGTGATCGGGAACCATTAGGCAAAGGGATTATTAGAGAATGCAAAGGGGATTATCCTCGGATGATGAAGCATTGGGTGCCAACTATGCAGTCGCTTCTGACAAAACGATATCAAGCCCAGGACAATCCCGCGAAGTGTTTATGATTAACACCGAGGAAGTGGCCAAAATCATTGAGGATGCTCTAGCCAAACAGAAGCAAGCATTCAAGATCAAAATAGAAATGGCTATGCAGGAGATGAGACAAATGCACGACCAACAGATCCGAGCCTTGTCGATTCAAATAGTTGAATCTAGTCGTCACAACAATGTTAGCCAAGCAGCTAGCAATTCAGACATGGATGAATATATCAATGATGATAACCCCTATGTTGACCAAAATGTTAGGGGTGGTCTCACTGAGAACAACAACGCTGGGGGTAGTCCCACCGAAGATAACAATATCGGGGGTGGCCGTGTTGTTCCTTTCGAAAATTGTTCAAAGCAGGATATAGACGAGAATAGAAAGATGAAGGACCTCAAGAGCAAAATTAACGTTCTAATGTCTGCTCGAGAGGTGAAGAAGACCGGTATTCTGTGTCCTTACCCGAGAGAGTGGGAGTCGATCACGTATCTGGCATGGTTCAACCTGATCAACTTCATGCTGTTCGACGGGAAGAGCTCACCCACTCAACATTTGATCAACTTCAAGTCCTACTTGGGCATGATCTCCGGCAATGAAGCCTTGATGGTTCGATCATTCATTATCACCCTTCGCGGGCCTGCCTTCGATTGGTACCGTCGTCTCAAGCCTGGAAGTATCAACGGCTGGGACGATATGGAGAGCTCATTTCTCGGCAATTTCTTTGATGATGATGCCGAGATATCAATCAGGATGCTCTTTGAGGAGAAACAGGAAGACGAAGAGACAGTCGACGACTTCATCAAGCGCTTTCGGAATAAGGCGATGAATTGTCGAGATCTGGTCACGGATTTGTACTCCTACTCCCACTGTCTACCTGGTCAAACCTTTCTACAGTTAGGGCCACAACTAAAATCCCATCTTGATTCCTTTCATAAACGAGAGGTCCACGAATCAAGTGATCAAACCTTCCTATAGTTAGGATCGTCTCAAACCTCCCATTTGGTTAAACCTTCCTACAGTTAGGGCCAAAGCCAAAATCCCCTCTCGATTCCTTCCATGAACGAGAGGTCCACTTTTAAATCGAGTGATTAAACTTTTCTACAGTTAGGATCACCTCGAACTCCCACTTGGTCAAACCTTCCTACAGTTAGGATCAAAACTAAAATTAGAGTTTCACTCTCGAAAAAACAAGAAATTCACATTTAGTTTGGTAACCCAACCTTCCGACAGTTAGGATTATCCGAATCTTTCGATTCTCGGAGTGGAGATCCCACTCCTAGTTTCACCTTTTTGGATTATTAGGGTGGAGATCCCACTTCGAGTTTCCTTAGCAACTGGAGATAGAATATAAAATTCTTCCTCTTCGGTTTTGGGAGATAGAATATAAAATTCTTCCTCTTCTATTTTGGGTTCGTCTTTGCCCCAAAAGAAGACACCATCCTAATAATGCCAAAATTCGCTCCTTACACGATCGGGGAATTTGATCCCGAATCCTAAGTAGGAATAAGTCAACATCTAACACGCGTTGCCGGTTTAGTCTTTCACCGATTGAAGAAGACACCAGAATCCAAGTCTGGGGAAGTTTATCCCGAAACCTAAGTAGGGATAAGTCAGCACCTAACACGCGTTGTCGGTTAGTCTTTTGCCGTAAAAAGAACAAAAGCCCACATATTCGACATTGTGGTAGGTCGTTATTAATAACGCCAAAATCCACTCCTTACACACGCGAGTAATTTGATCCTGAATCCTAAGTAGGGATAAGTCAACGCCTAACACATGTTGCCGGTTTAGTCTTTCACCGATTGAAAAAGATACCAGAATCCAAGTCTGAGGAATTTTATCCCGAAGCCTAATAAGGGATAGGTCAGCGCTCAACACGCGTTGCCGTTTAGTATTTGACCGTAAAAAGGACAAAAGCCCACATATTCAACATTATAGCAGGTGGTTATTTATAACGCCAAAATCCGTGCTTCACACGCACGAGGAATTTTATTCAGAAGCCTAAGAAGGGATAGGTCAGCGCCTAACACGCGTTGCCAGTTAGTCTTTGACCGTAAAAAGGACAAAAGCCCATATATTCGACATTGTGGAAGGTGGTTATTCATAACGCCAAAATCCGTGTTTCACACGCACGGAGAATTTTATCCCGAATCCTAAGTAGGGATAAGTCAACGCCTAACACGCGTTGCCATTTTAGTCTTTCGCCGATTGAAGAAGACACCAGAATCCAAGTCTAGGGACTTTTATCCCGAAGCCTATGTAGGGATAAGTCAGCGTCTAACACACGTTGTCGGGTAGTCTATTCTCGTAAAAAAAACAAAGTCTACGTATTCAATATCGTAGCACTAAAAGAGTTAATTCTTTTAGCACAACGTTACATGCGGAACGGACTTAAACAATCCGCATGCTAGCCCGACTCAAATGGCAGTCGTAAAGGCTTATCAAACCTGTTGATGGCTGAAAGTTTACCAAAAATCCTATAAGTGTGAGAGTCATTGACGCACCAACTCCATTAGTTGGTCTCGTGACTTGAGCATCTAATAATATCAGGATAAGATCCATACATGTAGATGAATCAGCTTTAATAGTTAGTCCTGCAGCCCCAGCATTTGGGACCGTCACGCTCCAACACCTTAAGAGCTTAAACTGTGTAGACCCAAGGTCAACGCGTTGCAATAAAAGTCAACGTATGTCAATGCAAAACCCTAAGGTCAACGCTGGTCAACGCATAGTCCTAGGTCAACGCCGGTCAACGCGTTGTGATGGAAGGCAACGCCGATCGATACGAAACCCTAAGGTCGCCAATCAACACATAACCCTAGGTCAACACCAGTCAACATGTTGCGACATAGATAATTAGTTCAAAGTCAACTCAATGACACGAGCCAAAATCAACTCATCAATTTCGATTCGAGACTTCGACAACGGTCAGACGATAAACGCACCACCGGAAGAATTTTAGCTATTCGACAAAACACTGAATGGACTAAAAAGTGGAGAAGTCAAGAACTGAAACCAGTTGTAGGTCTTTTGACACCAATTGAAGGTGGAGGTCTATCATATCCAAAGCATTTTAGATTCCACTATAAAAGGATGAGGCTGAAACACTTTGGAGGAGGTATCTGTAGGCGTCTAAAATTGTCTATGAGAGCCCGCACGCAGCTTGAAGCAAAGAGTGGACGCGTGTCGGTCAACACGCACACGTCAATCAACTCCCGCGCGTTGGTCAACACGCGCACGTCAATCAACTCGCGCGCGTCGGTCAACAAGCGTATGTATGTCAATCAACTCACGTTCGTCAATCAGTCTCAGCGAAGCGTACAAGTTAACGAAACACCGAAAGGCGAAAAGAAAGGGAAAAGAGCATCAACTCACGCGCATCAGCGGTTCACCAGGAAGTGAACCGCGGCCGCGCGATTCACCATGAAGTGAACCACAGCCTTGTGGTTCACCCGATGGTGAACCGCGGCCACGTGGTTCACCAAGGGTCGTTTCGCGCAGGTTTGACCCGAAAATGTGTTTTGACGATTTTCGATGGGTTTTCTCAGGATTTATCTATTCCAGGGGATCCCAACTGACTTGATATTATTCACAAACATGGTTAGGCCATTATTGACTGAAGATAAGGCCAAATCTCTCATTCTTATCCAAAAAACCCCCAACCGAAGCCTATAAATACAGGCCTAGGGGCTCATTTCACCGGGGGGAATATTGTCAAGACGAGGAGGTGCTGCCGAACTTCAGAGCTAAAAGCCACGAATTTTAGCAAGGGCTAGCGAGATCCCGGCGAACATTGGCATAAAGAAGGAGTCTTTCGAAGGATCTGAAGCCTGTTTCCGTCCGTTCCTTGAGATTAGGCTTAGTCTTAATCTCGAGAAGAGCTACTGATTTCACTTGGTCGATTTCAGTGCTTCAAACGAATACTTTCTTCGTGAAGTAGGAGCTTTATCAATTTCCTGACAACCGGATCTGATCCGCAGCAGTCCACGGATATCAACATCCCCAGCACAGGCGAAGAACCCACACAAGCAAGAGTTGATAAACAGTTCTTGTGTTTATTTTCTAGAAAGTTGTAATCTTTATTTTGTTATTTGAATTCATTGTAAACGATCAAAGTTGTAATGAACTCGATAATGAAAACCACTTTCGACGAAAACAGTGCAGAGAGGGATCCGTCAACAAACTGTTGTAGGTCATAGCCAAAGAGAATGGCTTCGATTTGCAATTTCCAAGAGAGATACTTAGTAGATGTGAGTTTCACAGAGTTGTGTACATTGACTGCAATGAGAGGTTTGGTGGGTTCGTGACTGTTGGGTATGAGAACTTGATTATTTTCATTGGCCATGACTGAAAGAGAACTCCTCTTGGCATCACAGTGGTTGCGGCCGGCGGAGAGAGCGAGGAAAGTTTAGGATTTTTGGGGAAGAAGAGTGGTTCAGAAACAGGGCTCTGATACCATGAAGAGCTTAGTGAAATAACGGCTTACTTTATTTTCTATTGAATCACATTGAATATATACAGTACAACGTTCAATTACAAAGAGAATTAAGGAACCCATAATAGGTATCTAATCTCCTATAATTAGGCATCTGGAATAGGTAACTAATCTCCTATAATTAGAAAAGAATAAAATCATAGAATAAATCATTTATGTACACGTATCTTTATCACAACAATCAAGAGGAGATGGAGCGGTCTATGTCCATTCCTTTTAAAAATTAACATATGAGTAACACCATGTGAAAAAAGTATTAATTATCTCTTCTAACATGACAACTGAACTAATAAAGAAAAGAAGGGGGGAAAAAGAATAAAAAACCAGGCTATCTTCATTATCCTTGAGTATACCCACTTAATTTTACTCGATACACAAACACACAAACAAATAAAAATCAACCATTATCGAAGCATAGCCCCGCAAACACAACAATTTCCGTTCAATTTATTTTTACAGAGATAAACACATGGAGAGTATCAATCTAAAGAAGTAAAAATCACCCTGATGAACTTAGCGAAGGTGCCCATAGTCCCCGTAAGACTCCAGGCCAATAGCAGGAACCGTCTCATATCCACAACGCCTTCTGAATCTCCGTGGAATAAGAAACTTACCGCCAAGTCTCTGCTGCAAGAATATCAGGACCGCGAAGAGAATACTTGTTACTGGAATTACTTTATTCCCAGCAGAGGAGTAAATGCCTTCATCTGGGTTAGCATAAATGTACGAGGACTTGAGATGTTGGGCAAAGTTTTGCGCTCTATAAGGAACATAAAGATGAGGCATTACACGAATCAAAGTAATCCCTATATAAAATTGAGGGGTGAGAGCCTTATCTTTAGAGCCAGAGATTATGTTGAGAATAACTTGAGGAAGCAGATAGCCATCAACTATCGAGCCAGCGTAAGAACGTAGATAATCCATCAACAAACAATTTTGATTAGGATTATAGTCGAAGCTCTTCACTCGAGGGTAATTAGATCTTTTATGAATGGACCAAGAAACTATGGCTCCAGAAGAATACAGCAGAAGGCACAGCAAGAAAGTTTTGCTTTCAGCTATCCACAGGCCTCTTCTGCCCTCTTCTGAAGATTTCCCAGTCCAAGCCAACTGAAGAAGACGGAAATGCAGTAAGAAAGCGACCATGGTCATGACTCTCACCATAACCTCAGTCACTTCTAGCCACCCCCCACTCCATAGAAGAACATTCGTCGTATTTTGACGCCTTACAAATACAGCCTCAAAGTTCAAAACTAGAGGGATCATATATCCAAGCATCGTAATAACAAGCATTGTGACGGATATCGATGGGATCACGTCTCGGTGCTTCTTAACGTAGAAGAGTTGAAGCGCAATGAAAACACATACAAGTGTGAGAGAGACCATCACCATGATTATCTCCATATCCATTCTCCACATTGACTTGATTGCTTCAGATTGATACACATTGTTTGATGAGAGCTCTAAAGGCTCAAAAAAATGAGGGTCTGCTTTTTCTCTAGTGCTCCTGATAGTCCCATTGACATGTCTCCTTTCTCCATTGTACAGGTTTAAAGGAGATAGCTGGATACTAATGACAATTTCACAGTCCATGGGAGTTTCCGGTGAATTATCTAGAAGCCGACAGCCAACCATGCAAAATGTCCCCATTGCGGAGTTATAGGTTCCTTCTGCTGAGAAATGCTTATGTTCACCCAGACCTGTAGTTGAATTCAAGGATGTATAGATTATTCTATAGCTCACATTCCAAAGGTTTTGGCTAACGTTAGAGTTTTTCTCCACAAAAGGAATCTCAAAAGCCATTGTTGAATATAAACTACTAAAGAATTTGCCACCAAAAGAGAGAGGCCTAGCATTACCGAACATCACATTTCCTTCAAATTTCTCAAAGAAAGCTCAAAAGTCAAGTCCATAATTGAATTCCCATCAGGATAAATTTCATCTCCAGAACAGTTACCTCGATTGTGTTTGCAAGTACTCTTCACAGGGTCAAATTTAGTGTATGCATACTTGAGACCAGGAAGAAAACTATCCAACTTGGTTCCCGTACTCCGGAATGAAACTGATTTGAAATACCCGGGAGCTTTCTTGTCTTTGATACTCCAGATTTGCCCTGAGATGTCGCTTGGATTATCAATTGTGATGACGGAAGGAAACATGAAGGTTAATCCAATTGTGCATTCACCAACTGATGAATCTTTTAGATAATCTTTTGGTTCTAGCACCGGACAGGCTACTAAGCAAAGGAGCTTCTTTTCCCAATCCCAGTACCCTTCAGCAACTAAAGAATTTCCAGGAATCAAGCTATTGAGATAATTATTGGAAGCTGTATTAGAGAAGCGTATAGACATATGTACACTGCCATTTTCAGAACAGAAAACCTGGTCTAAAATCATAAAGGTTGGCAAAACACCGAGACCGTTCTTATTCGAAAATGGAGTGCCACAATTCCCAGAAGAGCAGTCACTCCCGTATTTCAACGGATACTGGCCTGCTATTAATCTTGGAAGGTAATTACGAGCATCACTTGGTTCAAACCCAAGCAATCCTATAGGAACCTTCACTTTGGAGCGAGAATCTCGAGCTCTGGGCATCTGGGTATAGCTATAATTAATTGGAGCATAGCCTAATATTGAGATTGAATCAAAGTGATTCGGGTCTTCAGGTGAATCTAAGCTCTCAATCATCCCGCTAACAACACTAGAAGAAATGTTTCTGTTCACGGGATAATGGAGCTTAAAGACGGCTGAGAGTTTCAGGCTGGTGTCATAGCTGTTACCAGAGCCAACCATGCAGATTTTTCCTGTAGTTTTTGACCAGAAACCAGAAAGGTTTTCAAAGCTCACCCCTTTTCCGCGCCCGAAGGCAATGTTGATTGAGCTGATAATGTGGAGAAGGCCATCGGTTTTGGTTCGGTACGCACCGTTGAGGTAGAAAGAGAGGTAATTGGGGGAGGGAGGAATGAAAGAAGATGATGCGTCAGGATCAGGACCGAGGATCTTGTTGCCGCCGGAGAAATGGCCGTTGTAGATATAAGGTTGATGTTGGATGCAGCGGCAACAGGTGTTGACTGGGGAACAAATGAGCTGCAGTGATCAGCATAGTTTATCTTGGCAGGAGCCGACAGAGAAGAGGAGGAGAATGTGATGAGAAATACAAGGAAGAATGAAGGGAGAGTGAATGAAGATCTCTTAATGAGGGAACAGGTTGCAGTTGCCATGGGAGGAGCTCTGTTTTGTATGTCGTTGATGTAGAGATTTATAAGAGAGGAGCATGAGCTAAACGAGTGATATTGAAGTTTTTCACTGTAAGTAAAAGTGTCGTTGACTATAGAATTGCTTTTTTGGTTTTTGCATTTTGACCCCTGAAAGTGAGAGAGAGAGAGAGAGACTTCGAATCTAGTATTTGACTGTTCTCTTTTGCAAATGAGCTCTCCAACAGCTTCTTTAAAATTTTCTTCAAAATGGAGAAGCAAAAGTCATATTCTCCAAATTATTTTTACACCAACTCCAACAGCTTCTCCATTTTGAAGAATCTCTTTTTTCCTCCAAAAATTTGGTGAATGCTACAAACTTGGGAAAACTTTCCCATTTTTTCTCCTTCATCCCTATATTGGGGAATGAGATGGGGAATCTGTTGAACTAAAAACCTAACTAAATTCTTCAAAAATAAGAAATGAGGAAGCTGTTGGAGATGCTCTCTCTAGCCTGTACAGCTGACTAATCAATTTTTTGGGGGAAAGAGAGTGATAGCAAGGGAAGCTGGTCCATTGATTTATGTTTGATTCAAAAGTAATTATTACAGTAAATTTTTTTTAAAGAAATTACAGAGGTTATTTTTCAATATTAATCCATTAAACCTTTCATATTATAAAATTAGTCCATTAAATCACTAAAACTGCAAGGAGGTCTCCTAATTCTTAAGCTATTTTGAAATAAGTCCTTAAAGAATAGTAGAATTAGCAATAAAGGGACCGTTTTGAAACAACTTATGATAATTGTGGGAACTAATAGAACCTTAGATGATTTGGTGGGCTGATTTCCCTCTAATTGATACTTTAACGCTTGATTGGAGGGTCTAATTTCCCTCTACTTGATACTTTATGCTTGATTGGAGGGACTAATTTCAAAGTTACTTAGAATTAGGGAACCTAATAGCAATTTATATGATTTGACGGACTAATTCAAAATAGCTTCTTAATTGTGAGACCTGATAGCAATTCCATGATTTGAGGCGCTAGTTTTAAAATATGGAAGATATAAGGGAATAATATAAAAAGAGCTCAATTGCACATAGACCCCATTTACTAGCATAGTTTCATTGTGGCATATAGACTCTTTGAGTGGATTTTTTATTACTTTTATACCTTCATTTGCCCGGTGCTTTTACCCTTCTTGAAATTATTTTTGCTTTTAGGGGTAAAGGAGTAAAAGAAAAACTTTCACTCAGGGATCACTAGTGGAAAACCGGGTATCGTTGACGGGCTTTCCCGTCAGGAATGCTTAAAATCCCGTCGGCGATAGCAAGTATGCCCTTGACAAAGGGCATCCGCCAGTCGGACGATACGCCGATCAGCATAGTCCGTCAGGAGAAACAAACTATCGCTGCCGGGGACCGTCAGTAATGCTTATTACTGACGGCAACAATGCTGACGGCAAGAGCCGTCAGTTATAATTAAACATCGCTGACGGAATCTCCGTCAGCGATGATATAACATCACTGACGGAGTCGTCAGTGATTTTTTGTTGCTGACGCGCTGTTCGTCAACACTGTACAAATTATCGCTGACGGGGTGGCCGTCAGCGATAACTTTCGCTGACGGCATTCCGTCAGCGATGTATATAACATCGGCTGACGGGGTGGCCGCGGCGATAGTTATCGCGACGGCCACCCGTCAGCGTGTTATATTCATCGCTGACGGGAGTGCCGTCAGCGATATGTTATCGCTGACGGCCACCACCGCAGCGATATCATTTCTAGGGAAAAAAATGAAGCTGCTTATATATCAGTTCCCTGTACATATCCTGTACATACAAATCTGAAGCATCAACATTCAATTTCCTGGCACATTCACATCTCGAAATATATCCAAATTTCAAACATCTCTCATTCAATCAAATTTCACAAATATTCGAAACATGTTCATTCAATTTCCACATATGTTTCATTCAGTTTCACAAACATCTCGAAATCATATCCACCACAAATCATAAGTTCTAAATACACGCATATCATAAATTCTAATCCACGAAAAATCCATAACAACTGCACACATATCATAAGTTCTAACTCACAAAATCTTCCACAACAAAACATATACCCATATCATAGATCTCAAATAAGATGTCCAATATAACCAATACACGAGTTTAGGTATAACTCACTAAGATAGGTCATCGCTCTATCCATGTCATCATCGTCGCATCGCCACTGGCGGCTTTCATCCCTAGCGACTCGTGCTCCATAGTATCATCTCCAATTAACAAAAAAAAAATTTAAATTTAGAATCACATAATATTGTGTGTAATCATGTTTTACATATATATAATAAGTATACCTGTCTGCTACTCTCTCCACTAGAAGTAAATGCCTTTTGAGTGGCCAGAAAGTTCATAATCTGGGCTTTGCACCGAGTAGGAACCGCGCCTTCTAAAGATCATTACACTTGCCTAGAACCATCGCAAAAGTAGCAGTAGGCTGGATCACTCGCATAAGCTCCTCTTGAATATCCTCCCAATCGCCTCGGGATCTGACCATGCTAACATATTCATCACAGAGGAAACAAGGCTGCATCGCCTGCTGAGTGCAATCTCCTGCGGATGTAAGAGGCCCGATGGCATAGTCGAGCGGTGTGGAAATCGACGGAGGCTGGAATTTGTGTAGACACCCCCTGAGCTCCAACTCCATCCAACCTGGTCCTCCCTTTTTGGGAAGTCCGCACAAACTAAATGGCTCACATTATACATTTCTGCTCTCTAGTCAGGGGCTCTTGGCTCTGTGCAACAACCTCAGAATATGTGTTTTTCGAGAGTCCCTAAAGACAGAAAATAATTTAAGAATTGACCTTTCAAAAATAAAAGATATATTTACCTGAACAAGTAAATAAAAGATGAGTATGCTGCATCTTCCTTAACACTTCACATTAATAATGTTTCATTGAGGATTTAATATTGAAAATACCAATTTTTCTAATAACATTATTTCTATGTGTTTGGGAATGGGCTAGTTTTTAGCCTTTCTATATTTCATCAGAAACAAAAGTGGATGTAATTTGAAGGTGTATTACTGCTGTTTCTAATTATGGGTTTAGTTATGAAAAGAATATGAAGGGGTATGCATGTAACTATTTTATGTATGCATGTATGATATTTAACATACTTAGAGGTTCTTCGGGTCAGAAAAAAAGTTCTAACATCCTCAACACTAAACTTAGAGGGTTCTCGGGTAAAAAACAGTATCTAAAAAGTCTCCAACTCAAAAAAAAACATGAAAGATAGTAGCAAGATTTCATACACTGTAGCAAGAGAGACAGAGGACTATTATGATTACTCTCCTTAAACTTATTACCTTAGATTAATAGACCATGTGCTTACATTAAAAACAACGTGCATATGCACTTAAAGCCGAGTGCAAACAATAAAATTCTCAACAAAACAGACGATAATTAGTTACTGCATTTCTTGGCACCATCTAGCTTTTGTTCCTATTCTCATGTCATCGTACCCTTCTTAAATTGAACCATCGTCCTCCTGTGCAGTTCTGGTAGTGGATAAATGGATGCGTTCTGAGATTTAAAAATATATATATTAGTAAGATTTTATCAAATATTCTGAAAGCGGAGAGAATATGATATAAAAGATTAAAGACTTTATTTAACGTGTGTCCTAACAAATTGATCCTCAATCTGGGCAAATGAAGTAGTCCCGCGTATGATGATCATAATCTTTCAACCCTCGATTTGTTTATTTTCTCTGGCATTTTTTCTTCAACATGAAGAAGAGAATTTTAGTACAAACTATAATATACAATGGACATATATCACAGTTTTGCAGATAATAAGCTTGATGATAATTTCTAGGCTAATACATATTTACCTTGTGCTCGCTTTGGCCCACAATACTATAATGCAGCTAAGTGCTCAGGGCTCAACCCTCTTATGCTCGCTTGTTTATCCTTCTCCAGTGTGAGTGAAACAATCAAGCATTTCTTCTTTAACATCATGTCTCCCACTCCGGAAGAGAATGCTTGACTTTCGCTGTGTATCCAGATAAAATTCCAGGCCTACGGGATTGTCTTCGATGATGGAAATAATCTCTAAAAATTAAAGATATAGTTAGCATGGACAATCAATTGACAGAGAATTAAAAAATAATTGTGCTAAATTAGAAGAATTTACCGTTCTACACATCTCGATATGATACTTCCAATACATGAATGGCTGCTGGCCTCGCCAGCTCGTTAATAAGGATTCACATTAATCACTCCTCCGTTCAAGCATGCCAAGGTTGAGTAAAGTAATAGCGGCCCATTGTCCGGTTGGAATGCCCATTAGTGTGCCCCATCCTCCACTTGCTCGAAAACCATCCCGGGGTAACTTTTTGTTAAGTCACTACCTTGGCGTCCTTTTCTGATAAAGTTTTTCTCTAGCAACAAAAGAAAAAAATCATATTAGATATATCAACACTTTAATTAGTATTACAATATTATACAGGACAAAAAATGTTCAATTATGTAAACTTTAGAACATTGAATTTAGACTGGGGTTTGTATTATTGACGTTTTATCTAAGCTA